TTGGTGAGGTTGGCCCAGGATCGAGCATTGTTTCGTTCTGCTGTGCATGGGGTCGTTATGAGTCGGTTCCGACTCGATGGCACCTGACAACAACAACAACAAGATTCTGGATGCTGTTCAGGATTCCACCTGTGGTCTTATGTAATGCAGAGGCTCTGCAGGAAGCCTCCTTCACTGGGCACATTGTAGCCCCATATTAGGTATTCCAGTCAGCTATAGGCAGAAGACGAATTTATAAGCTTTCTATGATGATATTTCTAGCTATTCCTTTCTCTCCCCCTTAATTGTCTTATTTTATAATGGTATGCCAGGGAAACCAAGAATCAGTGACTTTTTTACTGAGCAGATTCTCTTCTACAGCCAGATAAATGGAGGGATTTGGAGTGTATTCTTCTAAGCCGGAAGGTCTTGTCTTATTGAACCATCTCTGTGTCAGATGGGTAGCACTATATATATTATATGGCATAGTTTCCATTGGTTTTATAAGTCCTTATTTGATGATCTAAGTGCATGTGATAGTTCTTCAGAGGGAATACCCAAGATACCTCTTTTGATTCTAAATTTCAGATAATATAACACTAACAGGTACTATGATATATTCTTAAAGTGAGATATAATGATGCATATTTAATATAAAATCTATTTTGTGATAGTATGCTATTTTTTATCATTGTTTTTCCATGCCGTCGAGTTGGTTCTGACTCACAGGGACCCTGTATTGGGTTTCTGATGAGCGACTGGTGGGTTTGAACTGCCGACCTTGCATTTAGCAGTCCAGTGCTTATCATCAGCTACATTCAGTAAGAATTAAGAATTTATTGTACAATTGACCTCGTTCTCATTATTTTTTACTTTTCTCATATGTGATAGATTAAGTTCTGTACTTTGTTTTCAATGAAATCGTGTGACCTTCAAACACCACTCCTATTTTGTTGAAGTTTCTTGGGTCAGATATAAGAGAGGCAGAAGAGTCAAGCGGGGTTTACTGTGTGCTAGCAATCAAGAGGCTTCTTCCTGTACCAAGCAGTCTTTGGCATTTGCATCTATCACTTGGATTGTTTTAGCCAGATATCCCTATTTGCTCATTGGTATAATTCTTGGTATCTATCTTTTTATCTGGAAACCTCAGATACCCTTTTTGACAAACAGAATAAACTTTGTAGATCTACTAAATGAATCAATTAATAGAATTTAGATATATCTCCTTAAAATTCACATGCTAGAAATGAGCATAATGTAACAACCAAGTCAGCTAGTCAGTGGTGAAGTACTGGTTTATTAAGGTCAGTGCCAAAATAATAGATTTTGAAGAAGGATTCTGCTTAATCAAGTGTGAATTTTAAGTGTTTGTTGATATATATACTAAATTGCTTTGTTGTTTTACTGTATTCATGTACAACCTGCTTTATTTCATTTTTATTAATATCAAAAATATTTGTACCTTCTTTTCTGTTTAATGTATTAGGTACCCAGTGCTGGGTCACTATGAGTTGGACCCGACTCTACGGTACTTAACAATAACATTGTTGTTGTTAATAAGTGCCATCAAGTCAGTTCCAACCTATAGTGATGCTGTATAGGGGTTTCTGAGGAGCAGCTGGTGAGCATGAACCACTGACATTGTAGAACAAACCGCTTTCCCTGCTACTGCAATAATGGTTTTTCTTTTATCCACTAACATTGTGCTACTGTTTGTTTCTTTTATTTCACCAGTTTCTCAAGCAATTAGGCCTGCAACCTAATTGGCAGTTTGTTGATGTGTATGGAATGGATCCTGAACTTCTTAGCATGGTACCAAGACCCGTCTGTGCAGTATTACTTCTCTTCCCTATTACAGAAAAGGTAATTATTAAGTAGAATGTAAACGTTTTCAGTAAATACAACGTTCTCGTTTATTGTTGAATTAAAAACACTCTTCTTGTAGAACAAATACTTGCCTTCTTAGGTAAAATCAAGAAGTGCGGATGCCTTCCAAATTTACTTTAAAGAGATGATACTTGAATTCTGATTTATGCATTGACAGTAAAGCCCTGGGGTGATCTCTTAAATTTGAGTTGTTTCCCTCTTTTATAAAATATAGTTAATTTGCTTCAGTTGTATTTTAATGTGACATTTACACCAAAAAACTAGAACAGTCTTAAATGTGACTTAGAAAATATATGAATAAATAACATCCAAATTTTAATATATGAAAAGTTTTCAATTTACTAAAAAAGAAACTTCTCCATAACTTATTTTATGTAGGTAGGGGAAACTGCTGGCATGACTTACATTAGTTTTGATCAAACTTGATTTGGGCGGGCATCACTAAGCTTAAATACAGCTTGATTGGCAGATTAACAATGTGTTGAAGATTATAGATATTCTTAGATCTCTGTTTAAATTTAAATCTCCGTATGTTTAAGTTCTTTCTTCTAGAATGAGGTCATAGAGATATATAGAGTGGAGCTAGGACTTTTAAGTGCACTTTAAAACCTCTTTTGAGTTTATAACCTTCTGATTTTTATTTTTTAAAGCTCCTTAGTGTGAGTTGAGTGAAAATTTACGGAGCCTATCATCTGTTTTACAGTCTGCAAACCGTATACTTTGTTTCATCTTGATTGCCATCCCCTCAATGTAACATAGTATTTCCTGCCTATGGTTCTTGTTTCCCATTCCTTGTGAACTTTGTCCTTAGGTTAATGCTGCCCTTTTGGTCTCAAACGGTTGACTGTTGTCTGATGTGTGTACCTCACTAGTATAGTTCTTCCCCAACATATCTATCTATTGCTTGACTGAAAATTGAGCCATGGGGGTGAGTTCATTTACGGACCTGAATGGTGACCAAGAGCCGTGGTCTTGTAGGTTTTACCACTCTCTGTATGACCAGTAAGCCTGGTTTTTCAAAAAAAAAAAAATTATGGTTTTGAGTTTTGTTCCACATTTTCTTCCACTCTATCCATGACCTTCTAATGTGATCTCTTTCAGAGCAGTTTCCTGTTGCCAGGCACCATAGAATTCTGGTATCAGGGTTGTGGAGACAGATAGATGATGCTCCTGTGGGACATTTAATCCTCTAGGCTAATTGTTTCCATTTTCATCACTCTTCTTTCCTCCATACATGGACACCTATGGTTGTACCTTAGATGACCACTCATTAGCTTTTAAGGCCCCCAGTCACTACTCACCAAAGCAGGATGTAGAACATTGTGTTTATGGACTGTGTTAATGCCAGTTGACCATGGTGTCCTCCAGACTTCGATTCTGAGCACCCAGGCCCTCAAGGTGTTTGGTAATGTCTAAGTTTCCATAGGATAAGCACTGAACCGCAAGGTCTTTGGTTCAAATCCACCAGTCATTCCTCTGAAACCCTGTACAAGGTTGCTGTGATTCAGAATCGATTCATCAATACTTTTAACAACTACAGCAACATTACACCACTTTCATGGATACATTTGCAACAAAGGTAAATGTACAGCCTAGGTGCAAATATTCTCAGCTAAACTTTTATGTATGTGGGTACACTCCTAGTCTCCCTCCCACACCTGTTTAGCCTGTGTAGTTACCTGTAGATCACAGTTATTGAGGGACTGTGTATATGACAGTATTATTTGCTCTGTACTTGCACTTCTCCTTATGCCTTCCCCTGCCGTCATCTTACTTTTACCAGCCTCCGTCTGGCTGTATGTTGCCTTCCCCATCATTCAAGTTAACATATCTGTACCCTCTAGTCAGCGAATTGCTCTTCTTTACCTCCCACCCCCAGTTATCATCAAGAATGTTTTAGTGTGAAACCCTTTTTTTTGACTTTTGACAATAGTGATCTCATGCAGTATTTGCCGTTTTGTGAGCAAATCATTTCGCCCAGCATAATATCCTCCAGGTTCATCCAAGTTATGAGGTGTCTCACAGGTTCAGCATCATTCTTCAGTGTTGCATAGTATTCCATTGTGTGTATGTACCTAAGTTTGCTTCCCCATTCCTCCATTGGTGGGCACTTAGGCTGTCTCCATCTTTTTGCTATTGTGAACAATGCTGCAGTGAACATGGCTGTGCAAACATCTGTCTGCGTCACAGCTCTTGTTTCTCTAGAATATATATACCAACTAGAGGGATTGCTGGGTCATATGGTGTTTTTGTATCCAAATTTTTGAGAAAGCACCATACCAGTTTCCTCAGTGATTGCACCATTTTACAGTCTCAGCAGAGATTGTAGGAGAGTGCCAGACTTGCCACACTCTTGCCACCATTGTTTTCTGTTTATTTTAGTAACAGATTAAGAAATCTCACAAAGATTAAGAAATAGGCTTTGTTCATTGCTAGAAATTCCTGTGCCATTTTCTCTGTGCAAGAATAATTCAAGGTAAAATAAATAACATTGAAAATCTTCTCTACTTAAGGGTTCAACAAGCTGTTTAAAAAAGAACAGCTTGTTGAACCCTTAAGTAGACAAGATTTTAGTATTTAGTATTTCTTCATATTTTTTGTAACATTCATAGATTTTTAGAGTTGGAAATTTTTTCATGATTTTCCAAACCCTTAATTTTTTTGGTGAAGTCATGAATATTCTGAAGGTAGATAGCCAATTTGTGTAACAGGATAGTAATATGTTCACCATTTTTATTGCTAAAGTAAGCCAATAGATAATTATCAAAATTAAAAACCAAACCCACTGGCATTGAGTTGGTTCTGAGTCATGGTGACCCTATGTGTGAACTGCGCTCCATGAGGTTTTTAAGACTGTGACCTTTTAGAAAGTAGCTCACCAGACCTTTTTTTTAGATGTGCCTCTTGGTGGGTTTGAACTGCAAACCATTTGGTTAATAATAAAGTCCTTATGATAACTATTGCAGATCCCCAATTATAAGAAGCAATAAAAACTGAAAAAAAATCAGCTGCTTACAGCACAGGTTTTCTTAGCTGATCTGATACAAAAGGAAGTTTATGGTCTAAATTGAAGATTTCCCAAACATTATTTTATGTTTGTTTGTTTTAACTGTTTATTGTGAATTGAGTGAAGATCATCAGTTTTACATTGAACAAATCGTATACTTTGTTTCTTTTCAATGATTGCAATGCCTGCGATGTAACAACAGTTCTCCGGCTTCCTCCCTATGCTTCCTATTTTCAGTCCATCCACCTTCCATCCCTTCTCAGCTTTGTCCTTAGGTAAATGTTGCCTTTTTGATCTTGAATGATTGACCATTCCATGGTAGGTATATCTGGTTGATCCCCTGCACACCTAACTACTGTTTGGCTGAAAATTGGGCCATGAGTATGAGTTCCCATTCCAGACTACAGGCTGATCAGGGGCCATGGTCTTAGGGCCCTCCAGATTCTTTCTGACCAGTAAGCCAGGATTTAAAAAAAAAAAGTTTTTTGAGTTTTATTCCACATTTTCTCCAACTCTATCTGGGACCTTCTGAGTGATAACATTTGGAGCAGTTGGTATTGGTAGTTAGTCACCAGCTATTTGTTCCCAAACTATTGATTTTTAAGACCTGTTTTTTAGGGGGAGTAGTCTTTAGCAAACATAAATTTATTCTCTCACAGTCGAGGTGCCCACAAATCCAAATTCAGAGAAAAGTGTTCCTTATCTGTCAGCTCTGGGAAAAGGTCTCTTTTCAAAACCTACAGACCTGGCATCCCTTGAAGAGCTCCACGAATCTTGATCGTCCCTTGATTCTAGGAGTTTCTCAGCGCAGGGACCTTGGGCCCAAAGAACACACTCTGTTCCTGGCTCTTCTTTTTTGGTGGTAGTAAGGACCTACAATTCTTTAAAAGCATAAATTGTATTTCGTTTCCTTCATGTAGTGGGCCATCAGTAACACAGAAGCATAGTATACTCATCAATAGGATGTTCGCATCTTGTGGATCATCCATACTGCTCATTGTGCATAATTGTTAGGAAGAACACAACTCTGTAACAGTATGTATATATGTGTATTGTTGTTGTTAGGTACCATTGAGTCAGTATTGACTCATAGCGACCCTGTGCACAACAGAATGAAACACTGCCTGGTCCTGGGCCAACCTCATTGATGCTGCCACTTTGCCAATCCACCTCGCTGGGGGTCTTCCTTTTTATCTCTGATCCTCCACCTTACCAAACATGATATCCTTCTCCAGTGACTGGTCCCTCCTGACAATATGTCCAAAGTATGAGAGATGAAGTTTGACCATCCTGGCCTCCAAGGAGCACTCTGGCTGTACTTCTTCCAACACAGATCTGTTTGTTCTTTGGGCAGCCCATAGTCCTCAAGCTCAATGGTCAGCTCAAGAAGACAAAGTCAAATATAATGACATGTTCAAAGATCATCTGGAGTTAGAAAACCAAAAGGAAAGAACATGTTCAGCATTTCTCAAGCAGAGATAACTGAAGAAAAAATTTAGGCCTCGAGTTTCATTATTGAAGGACTCTCTGGGCAAATTATTGAAGGATGCAGAAAGCATAGAAAGAAGATGGAAGGAATACACAGAGTCACTATACCAAAAGGAAATTGTCGATGTTTAACCATTTCAAGAGGTAGCATATGATCTAGAGCCAATGATACTAAAGGAAGAAGTCCAAGGTGCATTGAAGGAATTGGCAAAGAACAAGGCTCCAGGAATTGATGGACTACAGATTGAAACCTTTCAAAAAAGTGAGGCGGCACAGGAGGCACTCACTCAGCTATGCCAAGAAATTTGGAAGACTGGTCAACTGATTGGAAGAGACCCATATTTATGTGCACTCCAAAGAGAGGTGACCCAACAGAATGGGGAAATTATTGCACAATAGCTTTGGTATCACATGCGAGTAAAGTTTTACTAAAGGTAATCGAGAAACAGCTGCAAGCACATTGACAGAGAACTTCCAGAGG